CAATTTGTGATAGTCTGAAATTTACATGTTTAGTTTCAATTAGTGGTCTTTTATAAAGTATAACATGGTTCAGATCACTGAACTGGCATAATGAGGATGCACATTTTATGAGGTCGAAATTTTTTGAAATTTTGGTTTTTTATTTTTATTTTTATTTTTTTATCTCCTCTCTTATATTTTAACATGGATGCAGTCATTGTCAAGCCCCATCTCTTATATTTGTACTGTCAAATCGCCAAACCCGAAAACAAAAATCACACCCAAATCCACCACCACATATGGTGGCTCTATGATAGTATGATTTACATTTGCCAACGTCACAACCCATAACTCCGTAACTCCATAACATAAATAACATTTAGATGAGCCAATCCTCCACCTACAGGCTTTCACTGCCATCGACCCACTGTTAAACCAACCCCACCAACAACTGTTCGATCAGATTTGGAAAATCTGAGATTTAAAATGCCGCCGGTCTATGGTTTGGCTCGTACTATTTGAATACGCCATTGAGGGAGAGAAAAGAGGAGGGGATAAGAGAGTTGGGGCCGCCATGGTGGTGATGGCGGTGGAAGTGGTGGGAGGAGGTTGACGAAAGGAGAGAGAGAGAGAGAGAGCATAAAATGAAAGTTTTAGGGCTTGGTTACTAGTAGGGTGAGTAGGCTAATACAGTATTTACATAAAAAATGGGGGCTAATATAATCTTTTTGTTTGACAAATTTTTTTTTTTGTTTTTAATAAAACATTTTAAAATTAGATATGGATATGAAAGACATTTCACAGTATTACTTAACTTCCGTAACCTCACTAACAGCAATAAGGGAGGTCGGATTAATATTGGCCAAACAATGAACCCGTGTGTAATTAGGCCAAACCTTAGGGGACGTCTGTGTAATTTACCCTAATAAAAGTTGTTTTCAAATTTTGGATACGTTTAGAAAGTATCAGACACGTATCCACGAGTGTCAGAAGAGTTTCAATATTTGACACTGGCACGATATGTGCAAGTCCCGTTATAGGAGTATCTATTCTTCATAGATCTCCACTTAATGCTTTGAATGATAGAACCTCTGCTTCAATATGGGTATCTTTTTCTGCTCTATCATAAAATGATTGGCAAGAACAGGCACAAAAGCAGAGTATTTTTGTCATGACATAAGCTGCAATTTTTTATGACATTTATCTCCACAGTGCTAGTCCTCTCGGTTAGTGTAGAAAATCACATTCTCGATTTTGAAATACAATTTTGAACTACTGTAATTTTATTACTTGAGGGAGAGATGTGTCACTGTTTTTTGTTATCTTCTTCTTTTTCAATGTAGGTAAGGCACTAGTAATATCAACTATAACATTGTTTTCATATCATATACTCATAAAAGAAGTGTTAAGATTCTTTGCTCATATGTTAATTCAATTGTTCTGGTGACAAGTTTGCCATACTAGATTTTCATATCTCCAACTATGATATATTGGTGATGGCCCTGCAAGAGAACCAAACATCAAAAAATTTGTTAGAAGGAAGTGAAAGGCACCTTCCAAGAAAGTAAAAGAGAGAATGTAAGACAGATGAAAGTAAAAGAGAGAGAAAATGAAAGAAATATTATCTCCTTCGTGTTTGGGGCGAGGGCTGTGCATTAGAGAGAATTTTCTTCCAAGAAAGTTAAACAGAGAGAGAAAATATAATACTTATTATCTACTTCACGTTTAGAGAGAGAGTCTTGTTGCGCGGGGCGCTTTCAAGACCTAATTGCTCTCTGTTCTTTTTGTATAAGAAAAATATACCTATATATGTGGGTATCTGGGTATCTGAACCCTATACATGGCCTGAGACTGTGCTGGCATAGATGGGAGGCCATCATGGGACGGAGCCTAAATCCGCTGCCTTTTTATTTGGGCAAGTAAAGTGAAGGGAAGCAGCTTTTGGTTAGGTATTAAATTGATAGTAGTTTTATATGCCCTCATTTTCTATATCTGCAGATGGCCTTTGGCTTTTTTATTTTTACTTTCCTTTTCTCAAATTCACCATTATTAGTACTTGTCAAAGATAAATTTCACCCTGGTTGAATAGCAACTCCAAGTAATGCAGGATAAATGAAAATTGGGAATTCAATTATTTAAGATATTGAAAAATGCACATAATATATATCCAGATCCACATGAATGTGCAGTTGTGTTACTGTGCCTCAATTTTGGGGCATTGCAGTGATGACAATAATGCGTGACACCCTTCTGTCTACAAATCATAGGTCTTGTGTTATTGTGCTCTGATTTCACCTCTTTTCCCTGCTTTCATCTTATCGTGATGTTGAAGTTTGACAACTAAATGGATTACTTACTGTGACTGGTTTCAGAGTTGGTTATACATTGCAAGACTTGCCGTGTTTTACTGGTTAATCAAATACCAGAGTATGGCAACACCGTGATTTACTGGTTAATCAAATACCAGAGTATGGCAACACCGTGTTTTACTGGTTAATTAAATACCAGAGTATGGCAACACCTGTTATTTTATTTCTTTGCTAATTGAAAAAACATCTATTATTCCTTCGTTCTGAATCTGTTTCTTTTCTTCCTTCCTCATTTTTTTTTTTTTTTTTGTTGTTTTTCGGTGGTGGGTGGTGGATAGTTAAGAGATAGTCTTACACTTTGACCCTTTTTGAGAGGTTCTCTCAAAGCTAATGCTTGGCGGTCTTGAGATAAATTTTTTTTTTTTTTCAAATAATAATATTATTTTATTTCTTTGCTAATTTAAAAAACATATGTTATTCCTGTGTTCTGAATCTGTTTCTTTTATTTATTTATTTATTTATTTTTTTTGTGCGCGCGCGTGTGGGTGGGTAGGTAAGATACTCTTACACTTTGTCCCTTTTAGGACTACCCTGGACTTTCTTTTTGAGAGGTTCTTTCAAGCTAATGCTTGGTGGTCTTGTGTTTTAATCGTCTTCTTACTGATAATAATGGTAACAATGGCAGAGTGGGAGGACAAAGAAGAAAGAAAAGAAGTAAATCAGCAGTGGGAAGACGACTGGGATGATGATGATGTAAATGATGACTTTTCTCTGCAGCTTAAGAGGGAACTGGAGAACAATACTGAGAAGAAGTGAGCTAGGTCTAAGTATTCATTAGTGGTACTCTTACTCTGCATTATGACTTTGTTATTCAAACTCCAGATGGTTTTCGTGTCTTTGTTATTATGTTAATTGCAGATGGTTGTCTTCATGTGACACATTTTCTTTGGAATAACATCCATGAACTTTAATCTAGACGCATTATCAAATTCTATACCATAAACTCACAATCTAAGTTATTTTTTAAGTGGGCCTAATTGTATTATTTAGTTCTTGTACTGAACAGAAGTGTTGCATCATTTGATTAGTTATTTACCTTGATGAACAAATACGCCAGTGTGTGTTAATGAATCGGGAAATGTGCATCATGTGAAAGTGCTAAAATTAGGACTCTTGGTTGTGCAACCATGCCTTGAAACAGTCAACGACATGAAGTTGCTGGCGGCATGAGGCATAGGTCTAGCATTCTTCCAGGAAGATGGCCTGTTGACAGAGCCCCATAGGAAAAGCAATGGTAATATTTGATTAGTTATTTACCTTGATGAACAAATACGCCAGTGTGTGCTAATGAAGCGGGAAATGTGCATCATGTTAAATTGCTAAAATTAGGACTCTTGGTTGTGCAACCGTGCCTTGAAACAGTCAAAGACATGAAGTTGCTGGCGGCATGAGGCTTAGGTCTACCATTCTTCCAGGAAGATGGCCCGTTGACAACCCCATAGGAAAAGCAATGGTAATATTTGCAGGGCAAAGTGGACAGGGTGATCTTTCCTAACCTGTATTTTTCGGTTGTAGTTCAAGTTGCATAATTATTGGTTTCCCTTTCCTCTTTTATAGCAGTTGTTGAGCTTGAAAGGCAGCTTTGCCTCTACTGATCATGGAACTCCTGTAGCCAATACCAATGATGTTGTCCAATCAAGTGCTTCAAATTACAAAATAAGTTTGATTTTGATTGTTGCCTTCTTTGGTCAAAGACTGAGTGGGAGGACTCGAGTTTAAAGAATATGATTGGAAGGGGTCAAGATTTGTTTGAACTCTTTGAAAAGAATCATTGAAGTAGAACAATCAATCAAGTTTGCGATTTTGGTGGCTTGGACAGGCAGTGGTCAAACACTCTAAGCTCTAGGTTCAACCTTCTGTTCCCATATTACATTTAAATATATATATATATATATATATTTTTTTTTTTTTGCAGTTATGGAAGGGGTTAAAAGGTTAGAGGTCAAATCACCCAATACAGGTTTTCTTCCTCCTTTTCATTCCCACTCAGTAACTACTCAACCAAAGACACCTTCCCATTAACTTAAACATCCCACCACATGTTACCATAAAACCACATACTCAATGATTTTCTATGGAAGACCATATAGCGCTCAACTGCTCTTCCCATAGTGGTATTTTTTATTTGGAGAGCTGAATGGGGGTAAGATTTGGACGATTGACAATTTGAGGAAGAGAGGCAATTGTATTGGTAATTGGATTTGTCTTTACAAACGAGATGGCAGTCAGTAGATCATATCTTCCGCGTACGATTGTTTGAAGCTCATATTTGGTTTATTCGGTATGTTTTGGGTAATGCCTGGATCTTCCAAGGGGTTGATTAGTGTATGGAGTGGATGCCGTGTGAGAAACAGTGTTCCTGATAGTTCCGCATTGTGTTTGGTGGTGCATTTGGAATAGTAGAATGTTTGAAGAGAAGGAGTCGTCCATGACGACGCTGAAACTTCATATTATTCGTTCTTTTTTAGTTACGTGAAGGGGAGTTCTTGATCCTCTTCCGATAACTTAGTTAATCTTTTCGATTCTTTGGGTCCTTAGAATCCGGTTTCATTCTTGTTGTTAGACGCGTTCCCCTTTTTGAACGCTTTTTAATCGTTTATTACTTAAAAAAAAAAAAAAAAAAACCACATACGTAATAAAAGACATTTAACTAGAGGGGTATGTATAACCTCCTCATTCTCAAAGAGGGAGGGGTTCGTGTGGGCAAAAAAAGAGTATGTGTTTGCTATACCACTTATAAAAAAAAAAAAAAAACAACGTACATTTAATTATGCACGCTCATATGGTGTCTCTTTCTCTTGGAGGGATAGAATCCAAGTCCCAAAAGAGGACGTGAGGTGGGCTAACAGTATACTCGGTCACCTGTTGTGTAGTCCATGGCATTAGATACTTTTTGCAGAGGAGAATATTTTTGTCATAACCAAGTTTCTAGCCATCTAAAACACTACTAAATTCCAAATCATGTTAATCTAGTTTTTCATCAAGAAAAAATGGCAACTAATCTGAATTTCCCCCAAAAAAAAACAAAAAAAAATAATCAAAGAAAAAAAAACAAGAAGTTCCTTTACTTAGCTGCTGTTGCACTTTGTATAACGAACAGAAACAATATCACCATTGAAACCCTATTCTATCACATCCATTCCAAGCAAAGCCAGGACAACAGAGCAGACAGACAACGACGACCACCCTTCCGATGCTTCTCTATGTCAATTCGACTCCAATTTCAGTCAAATTGCTGCTTTCCCCCACGCTTTTCTGTGAACTGGCGTCGGTTCTACAGATCGGACATACTGCCGTCTTCAACAACCACGAATCTATGCATTGAGCATGGAAGCTGTGATTGCAGTTCGGTAGAAACCTGCACTGATCACCCTCCTTGAAGTTCTCCAAACACACTGCACATTCCACCGGACTACTACTACTACTACTATTATTATTATTATCATTTCCTTTCTCTTCCATCTTGAACTCAAAACAAGGTAGTCTCTTGATGTCATCACTGGACATACTTGGTGGTCTCCTACTACTACTACTTTGAACCACAATACCACCATTGTTCCTCCCAAAAGCCCTCCCAACAATACACACATGGATCGTCACCAAAACAGCTATCCCCACAAACAGTAAAATCACAGACACAATAATTTCCATGACCATAATCTGAAAAATATTATTCAGCCACTACCCGGGAAAAAGACGGATTTTCTTTCTCCCATGCCAAACAGAACGAGAGCCGAGAAAATAGTTTCCGAAAGCTGAAAAGTTATGCGGGTGACAACGATCATGCTTCAATATCATTGATTGTGTTGATATGGAGAGTCGAGAGACAGAGACTTGTGCTGTTTTTTATTTTTTTATTTTTTATATGAGAGGAAGACCTAAAATGGGAAGAAATGTTTTGGAGAAGAAAACTGTAATACATGTGCTGTGTGAGGTCTGAGAAGTTTGGTAGGTAAACAGAAACTGAAAATGGCGTTTTGTAACAAGTGGACTCGCTGATTTTGTTTTTAGTGTTATTAAATTGTTGAAAGCATCTTGTGCTGAAGCTGACCAATAATTTTGATTATATTTTTTCTCTAAAAAAAACGAACTACTGCGTATAATATATATATATTAAAAAAAAAACAAAAAAAACAAAAAAAATAGCTATAGTGATTACTGACCCCATTTGTACGTATTAGATCACGCCAGGGAAAAACCTCGAACCAGCCCTTGTTTTGGAAACTTTGTCATGATCATTTTCTTTATTTTTTTATTTGTATTTTTCTTGCTATTAGATACCCAATCTAGGTAAATTGTTTTCTTTTTTATTCTGTCTTTATTATTATTATTATTATTATTTTTTTTGGTTAGGTGAAAATGGATTTTCGTCACTAACATTGTGGTTGAGAATCAAACCTTGTACCACCGAACTTATTTTTTATATTATAAGTTTATATAACTAAAGGTGCGATGTTCTTTTCAACATTTTCTATATTCTCTAATTTCATCATATTTCATTAAGACCCTTAAATTTTCACCCTTTTTTTTCATTTAATTTTGTTAAAATTTATAGTTTTCTTATCTCAACTAATTTTGTTAACAAGCTTCTTACTTATTGAGAAAGGGAAAAAAATTTTAAAAATAAAACCTTAACAAATTTATATATATATACTAAAAAAAGTTTATATATGGATGTTGGATGCTATTCTTCTTGTACATATACATTTCATATTGCTTGTCGGTGAACTAAGTATAACGGGTGGGCGTTTGTCCATTTATTCAAAAGTTTAAACTGTTAAGTAGTACTGCATACCTATCTATTTATACCCAATCATTTTCTCATTCGGATCCAATGTGAGACAAATGACCCTTGTTACATTTTCCCCCACACAAACTCCTAACGCTCTTATTGCGGCTCGAACCACCCTGTCTACCAGGGCTGTCTCACCCGAACGCTTTCCTGCCGGACACTTGGCGTGGCACTGAATCAATAATTGGATCTGACTCTAATAAGACTGATATCAACTGTAATAGGTGGACGCTTACTCATTTACTCAAAAATTTAAGTTACATACCCATCCATTTATACCTAATCATTTTCTCATCCAGACCCAATGAAGGACAAATGATCCTTGTTACAACAAGTATGGTAATCGTTGAATATGATTGTTATATATATATATATATTTGAATTAAAAAAATATGGCAACATTACTAGAACCTGAACAAAATTCTAGGTGCTTTTTAGAATAATAAAATAAAATAAAATTAGGTGTATGCATGTATATGCATGGAAAGATTGCCATATGTGCTATATTTTAATTTCTCTCAATTGTCAGTGACCTTGTTTCTTTAATTATCCAAAAGCCTTTTTTAATGTTCTTTTAATACAGTTGGTAACTTGGTCATCCTATTTTATTTTATTCTAAAAATTTCAAATTGTTCTTCAGTATTTTATTTTCTTTCCTTAGAATATTATTCTAAAAAACAAGATTTTTTATATAATCCTTCTGTATAGGCGACATATGGGATCAACATAATAAATATTACTTTTCTTGTCTAAAATATTACTGGTTGTAATGATCTGTCGTACAAGCTTTAGGCAAACCTGATAAACACTGGGTTGTTTTATGGAATTAACTATGTAAATAATATGAAGTGTAAGTTTCATTAAAACAGTTGGAGAGTGTCCACGGCATCGCTAGTCAAAATCACCTTAATCATCGCTAGCCAAACGTAATGACGTGAATCACATTGTCAATGGTTTGGTTGGTTGATTGTACATGTATGTGTGTGTGTGTGTGTGTCTATATATATATATATATATATATATATATATATATGAAAACAAAAGGTTGAAGATGGATATGAAATAATAGCGGATGCATTGGATGGACGTTAAGTAAATAATATTATTATTTGAAGACCAAGACTTTCTTGTTTTATAGGAAAAATCTATTAAATTTGATCGACTATTAACCACTAATATAAATGGATGAATTTGAAAATAGTACTTCAACATCTATTTAGCCTTTAAGATATATCATTTTGTTTTTTTAAGATTTCACATACACAATTAACAAATAAAATAGATAAAAATACACACACACACAAGTAAAACAAGATTTATGTAGTTCGACAAATTACCTACATTCACGGGAGAAGAATGACTATCTTTACTTCAATTTTTGATTCCACATTTTTTCTCTACCCAAACTCATTTATATTTATCAAGTCTTTAAAACCCATTTTCTTGTTGGACAAGATTTATACCACTTGTCTACAATAAGTTACCAAATCAATCTCAACTAGTCAACTCTAAAATAAAAACATAATAAGATACAATTTCTTTCACAAATTTCAGTCTTCCAAACAGAAAAAGAAATTAATTTATACAATTTTGAGCCACGAATCCAACAATCTCTACATTAGCTCAAAATTTGTCTTCACATGCTTCTCCATAGCTCCATCTTGACTGAAGATCTTTCCAGCTTGAACCTAGCATCTTCTTTCTTCTTGTCATTCTTCGCCGTTGCGCCACACTCATCTATTCCTAGCAAATTCCAAGTTAAAATAATTGAACCTGGAATCTACTTTCGCATCACCAAATCGAACTCTTCTTGCTTCTAGAATAATGGTTGGTGCTTTTGCAATTGCCAAGATTTCTTCCTTCTCTTGATCCTTTAAGCTAGTAGATCTCGAAACAGGCTTCTATTCTGTCATTACAATTTCTCCACCTAGTATAGTATTTCCTAACAAAATAGAGAGATTATTGATCTTCCTTCCCAAAAGCATAACACGTGGTCCCTTTCCAATCTTCATTAATCCATTCTTCACTTCACACCAATAACCCTTGGAATCCAATGCTCCCACAGAGATAACATTCCTTCTAATATTTGGAATATGATGTACATTCGTGAGAGTTCTTACCAAACTATTCGTTGTCTTGATTTTGATTGTTCCAATTCTTATAACATCACAAGAAGCACTATTCCCCATAATTACCTTACCACCAACAAGTTTCTAGGTAGCAAACCACTTTTTATGAGAACACACATGAAAGGAACAAGTAGAATCAAATATCCACTTCTTAGCTTTTTTCTTATTATCAATGATTTATAATACTTCATCATTATCATTCCATTCTTTCATATTCTCAGACGCAACAACAATAGTGGATGCACTATCCTTTCTTTCCAGACAATACCACTAAATATGCCCTTTTTTCTCACACTTGTAACATCTTTTCTCTGACAATGGCATAAGATTTCTTAAAACTCCAAATCTCTTCTTCTCTTAAGCAATAAGAGCTTGAACTTTAGCATCATGCCTCTCTTCATTATTCAACTTTTCATTAGAGAACAAAGCATTTGTAACTTGTTCCACTGAAATGGTATCTTTCCCATAAAACAAAGTATTGAATAAATGCTTATGGGTAGAGCGTACTGATGTTAACAAAATAATTGATTTATCCTCATCACTTAACTTGACATCAACATTAGATAAATCACAAATAATTGTGTTAAACTCACCAAGATGTTCTTATTGGATTTTCCCTTATTATCTCCTAAAGGAATATAACTCTTGCTTCAAGACTAACCGGTTGGTGAGATTCTTTCCCATGTATAGATTTTTCAACTTCTTCCACATGTCCGTTGCTGAATCTTTTTTTATCACATCATACAAAATACCATTCGCCAACATTAATCGAATTGCACCCATTGCCTTCAAGTTGATCTTTTTCCAATCTACATTTTCCATCTTTTTCAATTTCTTACCCAAAGTTTCTCTTAGCCCATGATGAATCAGTAAATCTCACATCCGAACTTGCTAAAGACTAAAGTTCCTTCTTCCATAAAATTTCTCGACCACGTATTTTCCTTCTGTAATAGTTGCCGTCATAGCTTTGATACCACTTGTTAGGATTTCACATACACAATTGGCATATAGAACAGATAAAAGCACACACATAAGCAAAACGAGATTTATGTGGTTCAGTAAATTGCTTACATCCACCAACGAAGAATGACTATCTTTACTTCAAATTTTGATTACATACTTTTTCTCTTCTCACAAACTTAACTCACTTTTTTCTCTCTCTACACTTATTTCTTTTCTCTCATTACCTCTCTACCAAACCCATCTTTATTTATAAAATCTTCAAAACCCAATTCCTTGATGGACAAGAATTATACCACTTGTCTACATAGAGTTACCACTTGACTTCAGACTTATGCCTTAAACTCTGTAGAAAGATTGCTGGTAGATCAACAACACTCCACAAGTGCCTTGATCCCTTCAAAATGTGATATGAAATTCTTCTTATTTGAATTTTAATTTGATGTAGAAGAAATAGATCTGCTTTCTCCGATCATTGTAGATGCAATATTCAATAGACTTGAACATGATCAAAATTTGAACAACATTCTAAATTCACTCGTGTGTATATAGTGTGTATGCTCTTAAAAATCTCACAAAAAGGCTTTTAATAGAAATCAGAAGTCTAATGCAAAAGGCCACACAAATATAGATGAGAAAATATGTTTATATAAACTTTCAAAATCTTAGTTGTACTTGGAAAATAGGCTAATTTCGTGCATAGGTTTTTGGAAAGAAGTCTATACCAAATAAGAAGTTAAAACAAATCAGAAAACTAAGTTACCAAAATTGTCTGAAAACCTTAAACCAGTTCAGAGTGGTTGAACCGATTTAAGTTGGCCAGCGTTGATTTTGTTTTAAGAAAATCGAAACTATACATCTTAAGCCGGTTCAGCTGCTTAGAACCGGTTCAAGTTGGCCAGACTTGAAAAGAAGGGTTAAACACTTAGAAATTTTTTTGGTAACATGCAGTATTAAAAATCATACAAGTGTCCTAACCTTCTAACTCATCTTCCTAAAGTGTTGCTCTTACCTTTTCGTAGACTTTAAGTTATTAAACATGAATAACCTTTTAATTCCGCAACTGATCTCGATATTGAATTTCAAACTTAAAAATACAACTTGAACGGACTTATTTTTACACCGAA